TTTAGTGTCTTCGAAAACAACTAAAAAGTGGGGAGGCTTCGCAATTGTTTTTCAGTATGGTGTCGCTAGCCGCATCCGCCAACGATTTATACGACATATTTCGACGATTCAGCTTACACGTAATCGAATGGTCCTGAACTATAGCATGTCGCTGTCCCCTGCCCCTTACTCCTACTCAAGGATGCACAAAACGGATCCAGAGTTCTGTGATACTCTGGTATCATTCCGGACTGCTGCTTCGTCGTTCCCACGGTCAGTCATCGCCGAACGCGCTACTTGCCTGCAAACTCTCACGTCTGGTTGTTCTCTGACTTCAACTGCGTGTTTACTCTTTGTTCTGGGCGCAAATGAGAACGGTAGGCGGAGTTCCCAAGGCGGCAGAAGTGTACGGCCCCTTCAGCATTACTTCCCCGCGCGGCCATGTGACAGAGGTGTTACACTTGCAAGGCTCCGGTTACTGGTCTTCTGTTAACCAGCATCCTTTCAGTGTTGGGATCCACAGCAATTTTCCTTTACATTCATTGGTTGAATGGGTGCATTCTCTTGAATGCCTTCGAAGGGAGAGCAAAAGAGGAAAGAGAAGCAGTGACGGGAGAAAAAGAAGGAAGGTGAGGAGTGTAGGGGGATGACGGGATTTGCCGTCATAAACTCTCTTCTGACGGCATTGCTGCCAACCCATTTTACTCGTATATGGCAAAGGACGTCCTTGGAAATGGTACTATAGTTTGTCCCTTGGGATCAATGTAAAAGTATCTGCATTTCACAAAGTGATACGACACATACCTTCACAATCTCAATAACGTCGAAAGACGCACCATCTATCTGCATGCTTAATTGAGTGACTTTGTCAGAATCCTCCTGCAAATTATTCACTCAATCCTAAAGTCACAGTAGCCTTCGAAGAAAATTGATCATTTTGAGAAAACGTACAAAGTTCATGAAGTGGCTTCTGAATGGACTGCGACGGGAACTTCCCTTTGTACGCTCCGAATGTGGTACGGGAGACTTGGCAATCATCTCCCATTACTGAATAAGCTATGCACAGCAGAAGAGCCAAGGTGACCAACTTCATCCTTCAATGCTGATAGCGTGAAGAAAGCACAAGCGACCGTGCACGGGTTGATGATAACCCTCCACTGCTCCCACTGCTTTTATTCAGCCCACAGTTCACAAATCGTGTGTACTTTACTATAACAAAGCGACTCTTCACTTTATAATATCCAATATTGAACTGGAGAAACACAAAGGCAGCGAAAAAATTTTGAATGAAACTCTGGTGCTCATTATCGACTACCTTTTCTCATCACATACCCTACTAGCGTTTCGGGTGCTGTCGACATCATGAGCCACCGATGCCCCATAAGCGAAGGCTAGGTATGACAACATAAGCTACCAGTGGCCCATGAACTTTTGCACTTTTTCGGGCTATTACTAATAGTTGCCGTGAAATTTTTTTGTACTCTCGTGAGCATCCAGCACGGATGAGCGAGAAATATCTTGCCATCTTCGTGAAGCCCTTCGAATTGGAAAAAAATTGAGATTCTAGTCAGCTATTACTATGCCGAAGGTCACCAATGGTAACGCCCAACTTTCTTTATTAAAAGGTGCCAGGTGGTGCGGCGTCCCACAACAGTGTGCGAAAGCGCTGCAGGCAGACTGTGAAAAAAAAAGACTGGCCACTAAGTGACCACTCTATGTGTGTGTTAATGGAGGGAAGGGAATCCATCCATAATGGTTTATCGCCCGATAGACATGCCAGCGCCCTCACCCTTTTGGATGTATGGATGCCAAATTCACGGAAAAAAATTGCTCCGGATATTACTTCTCCAGCTAGTTTCCCGTGACTTGTGAGCGAGAACACGCGCCGGCTGTTTGCAGGCGCGAACTCGAATCCCGTTCTCTAAGACGTGAGTTTTTTCAACTTGCAGGATTGCTGTCTGCAATATGATCACCGAGCGGAAAGTTGGGGAGATGGGTGAGACGGGAATAGGGTCCATTTTTCATTGCAACCTGGGTGCGATCACCTGTATTGAGCCCGCTTTGGACACGCGGCAGAACATATCAACCAAAATAACATTTCCCAAAAAAGCGACAGACACGTAGGATTGAAATCGTTCAGTTGAAATTTCCATTAGCAATATGGAACATTAACGCTCTGACTCCCTTACAGCTTGATAAAGCAGCATTTACTACGAACACTACAGATACCGATCCTATCTTAGGTACATTAATTGAACAACGTTAACTAGAACTTCCTACTCAGGACAAGTTGACTTCAATGACTTTCAATACTCATTTCTCTGAGAAGAGATCAAACGGTTAGGTTCAAGCTATAATTAACACAAGAAAGCAAAACGACAAAAATGAACAGTTTTGGCACTGCCAAAATGGGCACCATCCTATAAAACAGTGGTAAAGATTCTCATGAAGTGTTGCATGCTCAACAAGGCGACCAACTTGTTCCTGTACATCCACTCCGATATCGCTACCTGAACAAGCGTATGGAAGTACTACTTAGTTGGCCGAGATTGACTTCTAAAAAATACTAGTTACTACCTTCGGGAACAAATTAAGGAACTTACCGGTTGGTCTGTGCTTAATTCTGTTAATGACACGTTCTCGAAGGATTTGAGGCGCTTTGGGTAGCGTCTTCCTTCAAGTGACGCCACTCTTCTCACCAGGTACGGCTTTGTTCCTAAAGCACTTTATTTTAATATATCGTATTATAAATTACCCATTTACCGGTCACTAACTGAAATTCGCCATCAAAATCTATTACCATACTCAGCTGATAAATAAGGACAATATAAGAAAACAAGCAATAAATCTACAAAGCCGGTAAATGAAAAGAATTACAGAGGATGGTAAAGAGATTAGGAGCATCAACACTCTAGCAGTCGCCGGCTTATCACTGGGTTGTAGACGAATGCTTCCAGAACAGCCACCAAACTTCTACGATTAGTTCGGAGCAACCGTGATACACGCTCAACGGTAGTTGCCTTCGATACGGTCACTTCCATAGCCTGAAATGAGCTCATCGGAACTGCCGTGTACAACACTTTAGTGAGGGAAAACATTCGCTCGCTGCTAAGAAGTGTCTAAGTAAAAGGGGAAGCGCACCTCCTCTCCTAACCAGGGAGGTCATTCACGACGTGGAGCGTTTTTTGAACACGGCTTTTTACATGATGTGGGTCACTTGCATTGAGTACCAAACTGGTGTTCATTTTTCTGATCGGCTGTGGGAATACTAATAGTGAAAAAGAAGTCCAATGGAACCGAATTGTTGAGTGTCAGTGAGATCTTAATCACTTGCAACTTTGATCAATTGCTGAGTGGAGAGTAATTATAAAGGTACTACAGGAATCCACGAAGAAAATAGTCGCAAATGGGGTCTTATTTGTGGCAAGTGATTGAGAATGAAGCGCCTCTGAGCGGCTCGCCGGAATGGTTTTTCAACAATTGGAGCGGTGTTCAGCTACAAAATCGGAAATCCTAGTGGATAGCGTGGAGGATTTTCAATCGGTCAGGGAAGGTGGGAGTTGATGGTTGAACTCCCCTCGGCTTTCGAGCTTTTTTTTCATTTTTTATGTTCAGCTGTTCTCGCTTTCATATGAGACTGTTTATAAATTTTGGATATCTACCATTTATGGGCATAGTCTGACTTATACCCCATGTGTCGGTGCTACGCAGCAATTTCAGTTTTCACATGCTATTGAGCAAGAGTTTTTCTTGGAAGTTGATCTTTATACGTCATTCAGTGGCCTGAGCACTACAAGGGCATTTAGTTGCAGCTATTCTGGAGCCACGTCGTTCTTTCACTGGACTCGCTATGCACACTCATGTGAGATACATTCAGGGCTATTTTGACGCCAGAATGCGTCGACGCCAGGATAAGTGTCAGAATCGTGATCACGACCAACGATTACCCCTATGGGCAAATATGAACCAAAATTTTTTTTACTTTCTCTGTTGTGATAGACCCACTTGGTTGGCAATAATGGCCGAAGTCACACCTTCGGAGCGGTGACGACGCACCGATGATGTGGTGGGCCGCCGGGCAGACTTATCGCGGATTTGGTGCTCATAAGGTCCATTCATGCTTGGCATGAGCATGGGTGGCCGCAGAACAAGTGAAAAACTGTCCTGGACATTTGTCGATGTTCATCGACTCAGCGCTCGCTCTACAAAAATGTCGTCCTCCACTGCCAAGAGAAGGGACTCATTTGATCTCCTTTACTTATTTAAATACACCTGCAGCAATGACGACCTCCTTTTTCTTCTTTCCATGGCGTTTATTGTTGTTTTTTTATTTTTAGTTTTAGGGTTCTGTACCACTGAATGGGAATGTTTCAGTA